TAAGATCTGTAAGAAATGTAAGATTTCTGGCACAGTAATTTGAGCCAATCAGAATCAAGTCACATGTATTACAATTAATGCTTTTCATCAAAATCGTCTCGATCTCATGATCCTGTGATCAGAATCACATGATCTTGTGCTCGTTAGAATCATCTCAGTGAGCTGAATCCATTGGTGGTTATTTCATCCAAATTGGTTCAGTACATCAAAAGTTATGGTCAAAAAATGTGTAAAATTCTTAATGTTAATAATATTAAGAAAGTTAACGCTAGAATGGGTTACCGTATAAAAAAAAAATTGATAAATATTAGAATGCAATTATCAATCATGTTATAATTGCATATGTACTTGACCCAAGATATAAGCTAGAACATTTGAAAACAATATTAATTGAAGTTAGTAAATATGATGAAAATAAATCGAAACTATTTGTTAATAATATTCAGAAAAAGATTATTTCTCACAGAACAAAATATGTAAATGCGGAATCCTCAAATATTGAAGCTCTTGAAACCATTGAAATTAATGATGATTATTCTACACATAATTTTTTATTTCCTAGAAGGAGAATTTCAAAAAAATGAAAACTAAATGAAAACACAATTGAATCTGAATTGGGATTATATGAAAAAAAATGATTTTCTTGAAGAATTTACAAATTACAATGAACAGAAAGAAAATAATGGAATACTGTTTTGGGGATCATTATCGACAAGATTTCCAATACTTAGTAGAATGGCATGCGATTACTTAGGCATCAAACCTTCAAGTGTTTCTAGTGAAAGAGCATTTTCAAGGACTGATTTTACGATTACTAATAATAGAGTAGCTATTAGTGAAAAAACTGTTTCCAGTATGATACTTATGCATTCATGGCTAATCGAAAGCCAAAATAAGTTTAGTCCTCTTGAAGATCTTCCCTGAACATTTTATAGTTATTGTTATATATGTCACACAATCTTATATACTTATGATGCTGTCATGTAATCACTATATCTATATATAAATAGCCAGTGTAATACATATTTTTTTTTTCCGATCCAAATACGTAGATTTATAAATAATTAAAAGTATAATTAAAAGTTTATTTACATAGTATCTGTAGATAATTTAAAAGACAATCTTTATGAATAACACAAAGTGGATCTTTAGAAGTAAACTTTTGATAATAAAAATAAGTAAATTCCTATGCATTGAGTGTTATATGTCCAATTGGCCTAATTTCTGGGGTTCAATTAGTCCAATTGACAACACTGAGTTATAGCACTAAATAAATGATATTAAAACTACTTAAGAATAATATATTTTATCAGATACCCTACGATGATCGGGGTTATCAAATAACTTCAGTTATTTGGTAATTTCTAGTTAGTTGAACATTTCAAATAGTTCCCGCTTCCCGCAGTTTGTTTTGATTGGGTAACTTATCATGTTTTAAAATCTTATAGTTGAATAAGGCTTTATACACATGTACATACTTTATTTATTTCTGTTATTACATTTTAGAGTACACAAATTAAGTTTTTTTTCTGTAATTTTTGTATGTTCAACATTAGTGTTGTAATAATTTTTAAGAAATGTTACTAATATTATTCAAATTCGACACTTGATTAGTTACAGTTCAAATTTTTTTCTCAATTTTCAAATGCAGTTGTTTCGAATACGGTGGTCTAAGATGCGATAGTCCTGAGCAAACTTGTTTATGCAAATTTTTTTCACTATTGCTTTTGGGTATTTGTAGGAATCCACTAATAATAATTTATTTCGTCACTTGATGGCTTGCGGTATTTGGTTTATTTTTTTTTAGTGTACTTGTTGAGATTGATCAAATAAATGAGTTCGTTTTTTGTTAAATAAAAAAAAAACAATAGCGAAGGAAAAAATATATTAATTATAAAGAAAAAAGCTTATATCTATGAAACTTTATTTAAACTTAATTTCATAGCATCCTGATCACTGTAGAGTATCGGATAATACCATCATTGAATGCTTCACGCCAGATACTTCACGCTATTTGTAGGTGTACCAATAATATTATGATCAATATAATTGTCAAATAACTCTAGTTATTGCCTGCTACGCATTCAATAACTATATAGTGTATCTTTATGAATATTAATTAATAATAATAATATTAGATTGCTAGAAATTGAGGAAAATAATGAATTGCATTAAGATGTCGTAGTGAAATTTACTACATAACATGGAAAAACTTACTGCATGATGATAAATAAAGAGAATCTCAAATGGACTTAATAAATTAACATGTATAGCCATGAATGTGCTTTTATTTAATGAACTTGGTGATGTTCTTTCATACTTAGTACTGTTTATTATTGATTAAATCATTCTAATTTATTACTTATATATTCATTTACGTTATGCACAGGGAATATTCACTATTTGGGGTCTTTGCTAGCAAAATGACCCTCTGAGTCTATTTTGGCTTTGTGAATAAAATTTAAAATTGCCAGTCATCTAGTTATTCAATTTGAATGAATTTTTTTTATTTTGTGAATCTAAATAAGCTCTATAAAATAAAAAAAGAATTGTTCAAATTGGATAACTAGATGGCTGGCAAATTTAATTTCAATTCACAAAATCAACATAGCCTCAGAGGGTCATTTTCCTAGCAAATATCCCATTTATTCGAGTAATTTGATCTGGACTTTGCTAAAGCTATGTTTATTTATTCTAGAGCATCTATGTGAATTTATGATATGTTTAATAATATTGACAAAAGCAAATGTAGGTTTCGTGACAAAAAAATCCAAATTACACAGATCAGTATGATATAGGTGAGCAAATCCGTATAGTACAGGCCAACTTTAAAATCTATACCATACTGATTCAATGTTATATATATTAGCATTAGGGTTAGTACAGTGTTGTTATTTGGACATATAAACTGTCAGATTTGGACCAATCAGACTTAAGGCTAGTGCTAAATGGACTTAAGGCTAAAGGCTAAAAAAAATATTGGACTTAAGGCTAGTAACAACACTGAGGGTTAGGGAATTATAGCTGATTAGTATAGTATGGTTTTTAAAATCGGCCTGCACTATACTGGTCTCTTACCTATACCATGCTGATTTGCTATAATTTCCAAAAAAATCTATTGCACTTTACCTTGGTGAGTATTTATTTATTTTTTTTTTTTGATTCCTAGCAAAGATCTGAACTACTTATCTGTTTAATGTTTCACGAACCTGTCTTTAAAATATATAAATATATACACTTTCAAATCACCAGTTTGATCATTTACTATGTTACTCATCATAACTTTAGTCATTTTTCTGGTCAGTTTACTTTCTTGTTGATTGTCAATTTAATACAAGCATATAATCTTATATACCTGTATATGCATATAGGGCTCAATAAGCCTCAGTGTTTCATTAACATTTAACGTCATTTGTTGTTATATTGCAACTTGCAATATACAAGGTAGATTCTTCTTTTAGCAGTTCTAAATACAAGTCAGATGTTGGCTGATGAGTAAAATATCAATTGAGATGTTCAAAAAATAATTTAGACATTTACCATTATCTAATATCTCAATATAGTTCATGAGTATAAAAAACATTTATTAATAGAGTATTTACTTAAGCTATCATGTCTACAACACTTACCATTACACTACATCTATTTAATTTTGTAGTAGAAATTATATCCGTATCTATCAACCCATTGCTAATCAGGTAAACCAAATTAATTACCTACTAAAATGATTTAGAATGGATAATATTTAATTATTAAATTTGGCTTTAAATCAATAAAAACATTTTTGATTTAATTTTATTTTATTTTATGAGTACAATGAATACTTTCTAATAAAATTAGGCTTTCCTAGATGCATAGTATATGAAAAAAAATCAAAAAATCCTGCATTTAGAGAGGGAGGTGAAAATCCACAGTTCCATTTATTTCACCAACAGTACGATTCACCGACAGTCATTTTACTAACAAAATAATTCTGGTTATTGTCATTAGAATTGGAATTAATGTTAGTATAATTTATAAAAAAAAACTTGGTGAATTATACTGTCAATGAAATGAACTTGTCGGTGAATTGATTGTTGATGAATTGTACTGTTGGTGAAATAAACCAGATCCAAAATCTATATGTATCATATGAATTGGGCTAAACAAGATTGTGCATTTAGAGAGGTTTTTCAGAGACTATGCATTTAGGGAGGTTGCATTTGGAGTGATCTGACTGTATAAACATTTAAAATAAACTATTTATTAATCTAAGTATTTCAATAAGCTATAAAATTTATTAATTTCTTTTTATTCGTAATAATTTGTGAGCATAGATAATATGCATTAGTTTAAGTATTTAAGTTTATGTATATTTATCATTAACTGATTTCATGAATGTTTACTATTAATTTGATTTTATCTATTATACTTAAATGCGTGAGTACAAAGAACATTAATAAATCTAGATATTTAAAATAAGCTATCCAAGACAAATAAATATTTGCTATAAATTTTATTTTATCCATGCTAATTAAGTACTTAAATATTATACAAATATAACGAATATGCTGTATAACGGAACTTTTAGATCAGTTCAGATTTCTGCTATATTGATAGTGAAATCGGATGTTACGGCGAGTCAGTCACTCCACAATCCAAATTCTCATGTAACCTACGGTTGGCTTAGTCGTAAAGAGGCATTTAGATTTGGTCAATGGTTTGAGGCCATAGGTAAGTATTCTTCCTTGACTTGTCTTCTTAGTTCTTCTTATCTTAAACTGTTACTAACTCTATCCTCAATTACCTCACTATTTCGGGTAATTGGACACAATGTATAACCTCACTATCCTCTGTCCTTTGGGATAATAGAACGATACAACCACAACTATCTACAGTCCTTCGGGATAATTGGAATGATACAACCATGGCTGATCCTGGTACTTTAGGATACAACAGCCAAACGGGAAGGTAACAATACTATGGGAGGAAATGATACTATGGGATAAAACAGATAAATGCAATAATCAGGTTTTTATGATTAGGGATTTAGCGAATAATTAATGTATCAAAGGAAATGTTTATTTATTTATTATTATGTAAGAGGCCAATTATTATTTTAATAAAGCAAAGTTCGGATATGTCTCTCTCTAGGGCCTTCACAGCCTTTATTTATATTATAATTCTTTATTTACATTTGGTATCCTACGTATGCTACAACTACTATATATACTACATCTCCTATGTATGCTACGTATGCTACAACTGCTACATCGTCCCCAACTCATACTTACCCGACATGGCCTTCATGTCTGATGTAGCCTACGTAGCCGAAGTAGCTTGAGTGGGCCGGATTATCCTAATTTGGAGTAGCCATAGTCATGTGACTTCACCGAATAACAATAGTTGACAATAATTTCATTTATAAAATTATGGCACAAAACAAGAGCAATAATAACAGAAGGAATCCTACACTGAAGAAATTAGTCTAAGTACTACTACAGTAAAAACACAAATCTTGATGGGTAGGATGCTATTTTTAAAAACATGGGTTTGCTAGATACATTAAATTGACAAATAATTAATATGCTGCTTGTTTTCATATAATTTACTTTGCGTAACTTGTTATTTGAAATATATTTGCTTTTATAACTCATAATTTACAAAACTTTCAATAAATTAATTATTGTGACTCATAACTCAAATAAAAATTATTATTCGAATGATTTGAGCACTCTTCAGAGTTTAATTTGTGAGTCATAAGTTAACACAAGCTTAGTTACTAATCTGTATTCATACCCATGCTTGTGCCTATGTCAAATTTTTGTGCCTGTGCCCATGCCTATACCTAAATTTTTTGTGTTTATGCCCATGCCTATGCTAGATATTTTATGCCTATGGCCATGCCCATGCTAAATTTTTGTGCCTATATTCGTGCCTGTTCC